TGTTGGGAAATCAGTTATTCCTTCAGTTTTGACTCTGACAGCTGCTGAAGTACTTAGATGCAAATGTGGGTGGATGGAGGTGTCACATGGATATTATTCCATCAAACAAACAATATTTGCTCTCACTTGCATTCTAAACAGACACCGACAAAAGCGTGAGATATTGAGTTGAATCTATTCTGTTTCTGATGAAGTATAATCTTGTGTGTTTATAAAAAAAATTAAAAAAAAACCCAGTAAAACATGGTTTCTTAAAAGGCCTATGTTGATCTGAATCCACATCAGGCCTTTTGTGTCAATGTTTCTGACAGACCAAACTTTTCTCCTCACTTTTACATTGAAGTCTGATAAAAGGACACAGCTTATTTCTATAAACTGTAAAATCAAAATCTTAAATATTATTTTTTATGAGTGCATTGAATTTGTTGGCTTTGAAAAACACATTTTTCCAAATTGCAACTATCAGCAGATTGTCTGCATCATCACTGTTTCATTTTGTTTCTGAAGGAAGAAATAAATAAAAGTCCTTATTCAGCATCAGTGGGACAGCTGGATTTATTCAAGCTTCTATTAAGTTTTGTTTGATTTTTTTTTAAGTTATTCAGTGCAAATTGTGAAATCAGTTGTAAAAAATGTAATCCTAAATTGTGTCAAATGGTGCAGTTTGAAAGCGTTTGCTCTAGTTTCCAGATATACATCAGTTATATGTAATTCTGAAATGAAGRTACAGTGAAGCCCCAATTTTTGCAGGAGTTACTTTCTTCATGATTCAAGGGAAAAATAAATGCAAATTTTGGGTGCAGTCCAAAAAAGGCATTACAGTGAATTTGGGTGGCATCGTAATGCAGTAAGAACCAAACAAAAACACACGAGTGAAACAGTTAGCTACACACAGTACTGTACATTAAACTGTTAAAGGGTAGGAATGTATGGCGTTACCATTGTGCCACCAGCTTGAGCGCACAGTAACACTTATTTGAGAGCAGATATCAATATGAACAAACAATATTTAAAGCGTGTGCATTCAAATCACACGCTTGCTCGGCTCCCTCCCCCCTTGCTCTGTTCTTCATCTGCTTGCTCAACTTTCCCTCTGCTCACTCGCAGCTCTGTCGCTGCGCTCACGAGTTAAGTTGTATGTAAATAAAGCACATCATCAGCCAATCACAGACAAGCTTTTTTCATCCAATAAAAGCATGGCTTGCAAATCCATGAGGTCTAAGAGCTTGGTCAAGTGTTGTAACTGATCAAGGCTGTAGATTTGTTGTTTTGTTTAAATAGTTCATGTGATCTTTGTTTTTTACTTGGTTTTGTTGGATCCATTTTAATGTTTATTCTGTCTGACCTTTGTTGATTCTGATTGGATCGATAACTAAAGACAGTTTGTTGTATGAATGAGTTTCCTCTTCTCCTTGAGATCACACACTAAGTTCGACTCTGTTTCATTGCTATATCACTGTACCGTCTCAGTTCATTACTTCTAATGTTTAAATAACGGATTGTCTGACATGTTTTTTTCCAATCCTTTCCTATCCTAAGTTCGAGTCGTCAGACGATGAGTATCCTGAGCCTGACTACTCAGGATCTGAACCGGAGTACGATCCGGACTATGATCCTGAAAGTGACTGCTTTTGTCCGGGGTACTACGACCACTCACCGCCACCTTCAGAGTTCCAGTCTTCAGGGTTCAAGTCTACAATCCTCAAGTCTACAGAGTCTTCAGTCCACGAGTCTACAGAGTCTACAGACTCTACAGAGATCGAATCTAGAGGTTAGGCTGGCTGTAAAGTTATTTAGATGAAATGAAAGAAAATAAGCAGTATTTACTCAGAGTTGGACTCATATATTCTAATATATTAACTTTTTCATTGATATTTTTACCAAAAACTGTTTTCACCTTTCTTGAGCATCTCATTTCTTTTTATTTTCTCACTGTGTCGTTTCAAGGACAACAACTGAGTATTCTTCACGGAAAACAAGCAAACAAAAAATACCTCAAAGGGCTGCTACATTTTTTTTAGCTATGCAGACACTGGGTGAAATGAGAGAAAGCAGAGATGAAAAACATCGGCCTGTATTTGATCATGTTTTCTGAAAATCATTTTCAAACTGAACGCATGCAGATGCTGGGGAAAACTGAGGAGAGGTCAACCCGCTGGGTATCATCAGGCTGGACCGAAAGCATATCTGACAAGATGTGAGGCAACAATTAGGTCAAGTGAGACCACATTTACTCCACAAATGCGCTCCGCAGGTCAACAACATGGAAAGAAATAATGAGTGGAAGTCAGTTTCTAATGTTGGCTGAAATGGCCAACAAGGAAGAGATCACAGCCAGGCTCATGCTTGATTGTGCCGAAACGCAATCTGAGCTTTTGATTGTAAACGACTTGTAGCTCTCCACGGGAAGAGAAGCAAAACACACAAACCTAACCTCAGCAGGAGCTTTCTCTGGTTGGTGTTGTGGGGGAGGGGGGTGTTGATGTGAGGATGTGCTCACACCTCGGAGGTGGAGAATGGATGGTGGTGGAACCCGACAACCTCAGGAAGAACAAAGGAGAGACTTTCACATCTGCTAAGCTCATTTGTAGGAAAACTTAATGGATTGTCTGTCCGGCAGAAACAATACTGCCCTAAACTAAGATATATTTTCTACAAATATTTTACAAATGTCACACCYTGCAGTAACGAACTGCTGCCTCAAAAAATGTGGTGGAAAATATTGTGGATATTTAAGAAAACAGTGGTTGGAGTTAAATATTGAGGAAATTTAGATTTTTAAGCTCAGGGTAACTGTGAAGAGAGACAGATGAATGTTAACAGCAAATTCTTTGTGTTTTATAGCATTTTAAGTGGAGGTCTCTGTGGATTAGTCTCATTTCTCACAGGTGCACAAAGATCCTGATCAGGTCAGCTAAGCTGACGTTTTAAAGAAGGGCTCTCTCGTTTATTCTGTTTCTCACTGGGCTGCGCCTGACTAGTTGAAGAGACAAAATGTCAAGAGAATGTGCAAATTTTCACTTTCCCCGTCTTGTTTTCACAAATTTGTGGCACTTGAAACCACGGCTCACTGGTCACAAAACAGTGTTTTAGTAGTTAAGCCTGACAACTGGGTTAATGCAGGTAAATGTTCAAGAAACCAATCAAAAAGCCATGATGCAGGTGTCCCAGCAGTATGAACAGATGATTTTACTTAACTTGTTTACTATTTCAACATTGAGACACATTTGCAAACTCTGAAAAGAAAGACCCATGATAATTGCTTCCAATTCTTTCTTTTTTTTTTACCACAACAGAGCCTTTGCAGAGTCTTGTATTTCCTTACCTTATGGCTGCTGTTGTCACAGATAATTATGTTTGATTACCAAACATCTGTGCTACATTTYGAATTGACAGGATGATAGATCATGGCTCTATGTGGGACATTCATACAATTKCAATAATCTGTTTGCTGCCCAAATGATCATTAAAGCAAAACTGTAAAGGCAATKCAGTTTWACATTATAAAAATGAGGATGGTGTTTTGTTTTTTCCCCTCTACAGAAAAATGTATGTGTTGGGATTGCTGTAGTGTGAATGATAACTCCATTCATGGATGACAAAAAAAAAGTTCAAATTAGAAGCAGGTCATCAGTGTGGGACCGTTTTCTCCACAACATTTTTTAAATCTTCCTTTCAACTTGTTCTAAGTCCTGRTTTGGTAAACTGATCTCTGCTGGAGGAAAATCATCTTCCATCTGGGCTTTAGAGGATCTGGAGATCACCCAGAAAAAGCAGGAGATGGTGTCTCTGCTCCACGTGTTGTTTCAYTGACATGGACTAAGAGGTTTAGAAAACATGTGGGAAGCAAATGACGATGAAAATATCTTTTACTCTTTGATCTTATCAGCAGCTTTATTCTTATAGTGTGGCCCAAAAAAAGCAGTGGTTCAGATATCTTGATGTAGAATTCCTTGGAAATATTCTGAATGGTTAATATCTTACCTGCTGTGGATACCTCTTTGGATGGCATCGGTTTAGAGAAACWGTTTAATTATGACAAAAGAAGCTAATGGCTCGTTCTAATGGAGCCAGTGTGGACCGAAGAATGCAGGCATGGCCGGAACGAGGAGCTCAAAACTACAAAGCAGAGTCATGACATGGACAGGAGTTAAAACACCTGACATAATGGTAACTGGAAATAGGTGAGAATGAGCAGGGCAGCGATTGAAGAGGCAAAAACTGATGAAGGAGGAATTGGCCAACAATATGAGGGTGGGAAAAAACAAAACCAAAAAAATTAAAATAAAACATAAACTAAAACRACACAAACCCAGAAAAAAACCAGTCCTAATGCAGAAGTGGATTACTGCTGTCCTAAAACAACTTCAGCAGTGTTCATGTTTATTTGAACTATTTTCTAAATCCTTACTGCTCTATAAATTCTGTGTTTATATTTTTAATTTAATTTTATGGTTAATAAAGGCGGCAGCAGCTAGCAGAAGCACTTCTGGTGCAGCTTTAGGCACATCTATCCGGAATATAACATTATTCTTTGCAGCAAAAAAAGACTGGAGCTGCAGCAATAAAGGCCCTGGGAACTGGGGGCGCAGAGGGTGCTATAGTGACTTTTTGTGGATGACAAGAATTAMCATCCACAATAAAAACAATAAAATAAGGAATTAACGAATGAGCAAATAAATTTAGAAAATCACATACATCATGTAGTTTATAATCTAATTATATATTTTTTGATAATGTCGGGAGAAATTATGTTCCTGTTTGGTTGAATTACTGTTTCTCATTCCGTCTGCACTTAATCTAGTGAGAATTAAACTGTATTTTGTTAATCAATGACTTATCTGTGACAGGTAAGATATTGCCCGTAAGTTTTTCACAGAACCCCACTTCGAAATGTCTGAACTATTCCTTTAATGTGCCACTCGTTGAACGGCAAACTCAACGTCTCCTTCGATCAATCTGTCATCGGGGTGCAAAAATGAAATCTGTAAACACCTGCCTATGATTCAAGTATCACAATTTATTACAAAAACTAGAACTTTTTTCTTTCCCATCTGTCGCTGTTGCCATGCTTGAAGCGTATAACAATACAGTATAAAACCTGAACTTTGACGTCGGATAGTAAAAGCAAAGGTTATAGATGATGACGCAGCATTACAGAAGTTAAGACATGCTCGTTACTGTACAGAGAACATTCCCACCCGAGCGGCTGACAGAAGGCGCCGCTCACGTTGACGAACTGCATTTTACAATAACAAACCCACCGTCGGTCGACACCGCAACGCCTCTTCTGAAATTGATTTAACATGAAAATAAACACGAATGCACAAATACTCTGAAAAAGGAGGATGGATGTGCTGAGATCGTTTTGCAACAGCCCAAGGCACTCAGGCTCAAACGTTGGCAATAAGGAAATGCTCGTTGCACAAAATCACATAAAGCAGGTGGTAGAAGAGAAAGAAGAGAGACAGAGATGGTGTCTATTTTATAACCTTCAGAAAAACCTTTAAAAGAAGTCCACCTCGCCTGTTTTCACAGTGGAAATCCCTGGCAGTCGAGACCGAAAAGACAGCTTGAACAAGTCTTTCAATTTGCTGATTTGTGTGACATCTGTTTCCTAAAAACTACACGACCTCCTACTGTGGGTCTGATGGCGGCCCGTTCGTTTGCTCTCACAGAGCGACYTGTTCTCTCAGAAGTGGCACCGCTCGCGTTTTTCTTTTTCAAATTGTCTCGTTTAACCCCACGAACGCCTGGCAGGAACCACGGGATGCCAAAGAGCACCTCTCCCACACAAAAATCTGGTAAAAATCTATCAAGTCGTCCAAAATATATTTTATTTCATAGCGGCTATTCACTGAAAAAAAGTCTTCCCCGTGATCTCTTCGCATCAGTTCACACAAAGCAGTGGCCATTCGCGAGTGTTTTCTCTCCGCTGCGGCTCAGTTCAGCTGGCGACAGGCTTCGAATGTCCACTTCGAGGCGCCTCCGTAAATGTCGAGGCTCGTCTCCATCCACGCAAATACGTTGCCCACTTGAGCTTTGCTGCTGCAGGTTGCCAGGTTGTAAATCTCTCCCACGGACAGTTTCCGATCCCAGATGTGGAAATTGGCCAGGTCTCCGACGAAAGCTTGTGTGGCATCGAACCCACCTCCATACGTRTCCTGCAGGAGAAAGAGATGAACGATGACGCTGTGTTCTTGGTAAATTAGATGACTGCTGTTAAAGATTTGATCACTTTAATAAACCACTAGAACCATTTGAAGGGCACATATCATGCAAAGTCCACTTTTTAAAYCAATAAATGCATTTTTTGTGTTCTTGGAGTCTCTGGAAGTGCAGAAAAGTTGATTTTAGTTTTTCTCTGCGTTGTGTGGATATCTTTATATTCTGTTTGGTTCTTAATTTTCAAATCGTTCAGTTTTCTCCATTTTCTATGACCTTTTCTGAAATATAACATCAAAATATTCCTCTGCTTTGTAGCCAGACTCTGGCTCCAACATGTAAGGCTGGATGGACAAGTCTTCCCTTGTTGACAACTTGGAATTAATTTGTAAATGAAAAGTTTCTGCGCCACTATATAGTCRTAAATCCCTCTATCAAACTAGATTGAAATGCTCTGGAAGCTAAAGGGGGTTGAGATGTGAAGTTCATGCTTGATTTAAAAAGACAGCCTTAAAATGGGTTGATCTGGGACACACCTCAAAAAAGGGGTGAAAGAGGGGCTTTTGAAGTTACAATAAGGTGGAATTCAGACTAAAATGTTTCAGTTCCACTTTATATAGACCCCCAACTRAATGATTTAAATGTGAAACAAAGGATTTAAAAGTATGTCTCCTTTAAATTGAGCCATGTGGTCAAATAAAGTATTTATAGAAGCTAGCTTGGTTTCATTTTACAAATTTGGCTTTTAACAAATAAAATGCTGTTTGTTGAAAAAGGAAAAAAAGGCAGAACTCAGCTCCACAGTGCRTCCTTCTGTTTTACCTGCTCCTGGCCGAGGATGAGCAGGCCCTGTGGTTTGATGGGATGATAAGGAGCCAGATTTTCTCCGCTCCCTCGTTTCACACCATCCTGGAAAGCTTCCCAAACGCCATCGCGAGTCGTCCAGGTCACACAGATATGATGCCATTTCCCATCGTTGATTAAAAACGGCAGCTTTGCAACCTTTAAGGAAATTTAAAAACATGAAATATAAAACCTTTAGACCCAAAATGTTCAACCTGTGCTGTAATATCAAATAATAAACCATGCTTAAACCATACCTTATCATTTATCAGGATCTCCATGGGGTTGTTGCCCCACTCGATCAGGACGAGCTCGTTGGCCTGACCTGGAACTGCGTAGGAGAAAGGTGTTCCCACACCAGGGGAGGCGTTGGACTTCAGCCACATGCACACAGTCAGGGCGTACATTTCAGGCAAACTCTTCTTCACTTTTGCGTACATGTAATTGGTCCTCAAAGGAAATGTGAGCTGGAATTTATCAAGGGGTCTGTTTTCTCTTTGACCTGTCAGGAAAAAAAATAGTGCTTTATTTGCATATTCTGTGAGTTTTCACTGACTCTGAGGATTTACGCTGGAATTACACGTTACACAACAAATCCACAACGGTGAGGGCTCCAGATTTTGCTTTAATCTCGCAGAATAAATCCATGACAGGAGTAGTGACGTTGATAACCACGCTGCTACTGCTGCATGTGATCAAAGGGGTCCCAGATACAGAAGGTTTCAAACGGCTCAGAAAGCGTTGCATTTTRCAGTTTGCATTGCTTTATTCTGCAAAAATTGTTCTGAGATATAAAATCACTTCCTGAGTTTATTCACACCAAAACATTTGTGCATTGCAGAGATTTGTTTTCCCAGCATTCTTCCCATGAAACACRCCCTCATCTCCTTCACTTGTGTGAAAAACTGAATCCCACCCACCTTTCTCCAGATCTGCAATCCTTTGGTGTAAGGACGTGAGGGTGGACTCCATTCTGCCACGCTGTTCCGTTTCATTCCGGAGTCCAGACTTCCCCTCCTCGATGCTGTTGACTCGGGATAAAACCTGCTTCTCCAAGTCGTCGATTTTACTCTGCAGCAAGTCCTTCAGGCTGTTCGCCTGCACCGAGTTGTTGCTTCTGCTAAATTGCTGCCAGGAGGCAAAACAGTGTGTAAAATGTGGAATTTTATTTGAAAGAAGGTGCATTCAGCTTTTATTAACATTTGCCAAGCTTTCTTTATAAACACTGAAGTTAGCTTCTGATTCAACTACTGGGTAAAGGGCTATTCCATAGATTTTTTAGTGCCTGGACCATCTTTTGATCAACTCCAGTTAAAATCATGAAACATTTGCATTGTTACAACCTGCACTGGGGTGTTCTTCATTTAAAACAAATTATTTAAAACATGTTTGTGATTCATAAACTCTTTTTTCTCTTTGTATACGTCAATAAAATGAATGCTTTTGTGTGATCATGGCATTTAGACCATATTGGAACTGGTCCAGTTAAATATATGTAAACAGTATTTAAACTATTTAAACCTGATTKAATGTATTGTTTAAATGACAAACTGTGTTTTAAAGATTTTACTTGTAGTATGACTCCTAATTCCCCAAAACAAAAAAAGGTAATCTTACGCTTTCACAATAAAATAAAAGTTTTACAAATCATTTGATCAATCTGATGGTCTCAGTAATATATACTGTATATGTGTGTGTGTGTGTGTGTGTGTGTGTGTGTGTGTGTGTGTGTGTGTGTGTGTGTGTGTGTGTGTGTGTGTGNGTGTGTGTGTGTGTGTGTGTGTGTGTGTGTGTGTGTGTGTGTGTGTGTGTGTGTGTGTGTGGAATAGCCCTTCACCAAACTGTCGAACTGGAAGCTAACTTCAGGTTTGTCTCATTAACAATTCTAATTTATTACTATCTGTGCAAATTGAGGTCATAATCCTATAATAATTAATTTCAGATGATCAAAGTAAACATTTTGAGATTTAAACTTGTCCCCAGACGAGTCATCCTACCTCCAGGTTTTCTAATCTCTGCTTCAGGGACTGTAAAGTCTGAGACAGCTGCGTCAAAGTGTCCGCGGGGCCCCTCGACACGTCCCCCATGGTGTTCTTGGCCCCGGTCTCTTTCCTCCTGGCCCCGGGCTCGGCGCCGCTCTGGCTCTCGCACCGGGCCAACTTGGATGTGAGTTCTCTGATGGTCTCCTTCTGGTTCATGATGGTCTCCTTCTGCTGCAGCACGGTCTCCCGCAGCTGCATAACGGTGCTCTTCAGGTCCTCTCCCGGCACGCTGTTCTGCAGCGTGGCTGCGCAGATGTCCACATCCTTGGGCACGGACGTGCAAATGAACTGCGTCTGTCCGCCGAAGTCCTGGGATAAACTCTCCAGAAGCACGCAGGAGAAGAGGAGAAGTCTCCAAGAGAAGCCGCTCTGAGTCGACTGCATGTCGGCTTTCTGTGTGTTCTTTTTTTTTCTTCTTCTTYTTCTAATTGGAGGGGGGAGTGGTGCTGATGAGCCGCAGTAGAGAGTCCTCTCGCTGGTGACTCCCCCCCTTCCCCAGCCTCCTTGTTGTTGTACTCCACCCGTGCGAGCGCACGGCTGCTTTTATACGCGCAGCCTGCCCGGTTCTGCGCAGAGCTGCTCCACTGCGTCACAACCTGAGGGGGGAGGTGGAGGAGGAGGAGGGAGTGGGGGATTCACACAGGCTTGCTTTTTAAACGTCTCCAAAAAGTCGCGTCGCGTCCAGGAGATGAAACCCATTTCGCTTTCCAGCGCGCCTCATGTTCTAAATCTTTCATCACTTTGTCCGCGCGTCATTCATTATTCATCTGGGGGTGGG